TCATCAATCCTGGCATCTCTGGCACTACAAATGCTAATCAGGATACGATAACCAACGCTGATGCACTCCTAGCTGTTCGGAAATCATGTGAGACTTCCCATGTAATTCGTTCTACGCAGAACTTGCAAGGATATCCGACTTCCAATTGCACGAATAGACGACTAAAGAATGCAGAACTTGAGAATAAAAAAATGCAGAAAGCTGTAAAGGAGTTAAAGCAGGTGAAAATAGATTCGTAATTTTCTCATTTGCTAACATTTTCATATTCATTTCGCATTCAACTGTCAGTAGAAACATTGCACCATTCATACCTTATTTATTCTTACGACCGTTTCCTTTTCCAATTGTCAGCTAGTTTGGTTATCATCCATTAACATTTATCAATCATAAATGCAACATCAAATACTTTTCACCTGTTTCTCCCATTTTTCCTCCATTCTCCATGGTTAGAATTCTAACTTTGGTTTATCCAGTACTTCGAGGTATGGAGAAAATTTTTTCAAAGATTAATTTGTGGTAGCTCCTGCCTGTTTTGTTGGTATACTTCCATTACCTCTAGTCTTCAGAAGCAGCCAGAGCTACTGAAATCTGTATTATTATTCAAAGAATCTGGAGGCAGGATGGAGAAGAGAATCAACTAAAGGTGGTGGAAGAAACATCTCCTGCGACCCAAAACTCGAGACTTCTTTCTCAATTCCCCTCTTCACATACTTGAAATGAGTGGTCAAGAGACGATATCATGGAAGTCACCAGCAATTCTCGGTTTCTCTGCTAAAGAGAAATATTTCAAGAACTACATTCCGTCAGTTATATCCGCATGCCTAGAACTTCCGTATTATCAATAAATGTTGGCTTCACAGCACTTCGGTTTCTTTGATTCCTTGCTTTTCCGTCATTTTTCAATTTTTCAAGATCGCATCACTTGACAATCTCCTGAAAATCCTAAGGCCGAGACCACCTGAGTCCTTCATTTTCATTCCGTTTCCATTTACTTCGCCTCATTTACCTCCTGTCAGACCTTTCAAGATGCTGCAGTTCAAAGATCAGTGAGAAGACTTTCCCTGTTTTTTTCTCTGATCATATCAGTTTCTGTAGTGCTTCCCGAGCCTCTTCAACGCCCTGTCCGAAGATTAACAACTAATATTATCCCCTGCATGTGATGAATGAACATTTTTCATTCAGGATATCCAAGTACCTTGTACAGTTTGGTACAAACCAGACCATGGATTCAGCTATTTTCAGTCATCAAATTTGTCAATTAAGTTGCATGAGAATAATTTGAAAAAAACATGGATATTTAACGTCATTAAAATTACATTTTGCACAGAATTATTATTTTTTTTGAACATCCTTTCTTATAAAAAATTGAAATTGACATTGAAATTGTTTAAGCTTTCGGAAACCTCATTTTTTAGCGATTAAATCGATTTCTGATCAAATTTTGAAGATGAATAAATTTGGTACGACTTCAAAAAAACGGTTTTTATGGAGGTAAATTTATTGTTTACAAATTATTCCTAAAAAATGATCGTAATCTTGAAAAGTTGCAATTTTTCAATTATTTTATCAATCTTCCTCCAAAAGTAGACTGCCTATTTTTTTTTCAGATCTTTAAAATGTTTCCCAACGATTCAAAATCAAGAATCAGATTCAGAGCATGAAAGTTTGAGTAATAAAAGCATTGTAAAATGTACGGAAACTTAGTGTCAGATGGGGCTCAATTGAAAGCTTGATGTTCAACTATGATAGTAGAGGAGCATTTCGCTGAAACCAAAAAACATAAACGTCATAAAATGTCATAAAAGTCTTGGCGCTGTCTAAGCTATATGTACAACTCGATAGTCTTGTTCTTGTCTTTTCACCATTCATGAAACAGTCAAATAGAAAAACCCAGCTGTCTCTTAAAAATTTTATTGAATAAGTAAAAATTAATCGGCCTTGCGGTCACAGGAGATGGGAGAAAAACTGGCCATTTTTGACCATAAATAAGCCAACGTTTCGACCCATTCTGCCGGTCCTCTTCAGGGCTTGTTTATTTGATAACCTGCCGAGCACAAACCAAAACAAAAATATAAAATCAAATGTGCGAGATTAAAAACGAAATAAAAAATCAAAATTATCAATAAGACATGAAAAGTCCAAAACATAATATAAACCTACCAAAAGCAGTCAAATAGAAAAATGTCTGTACATTTCAGAGTGTGTAGCACCATCGTGGGAGTCATTTAGAGTCAAAAAGATGATCCTCAAAAACTATTGTCGAAAAAATAATAATAGAAGTTATTTGAGCGACGAATAACACAATAAATATGTCAAGATCTCTTGTGAGGGTTACTAAACCCGAGTCAGCAAGGACTCAAATCCCTCGAAAGCTCGTATGACTACATTGATGACTAACAACAACAAAGTGACAGGTGTGGTTATGTTATATAGTGGCACATTCTCATGATGACGATTGTCCCTGCCAGTGGTGGTGTGCGCTGTGATCGACGGCGGTACTCTGTTGGACAACGGCTACCCCTTAGAGTTCATCAACAGCTGTATCAAGGAAAGGCTTCACCATCTGAACGTGGGTGCTAGCGAGAATACGGCCGCTGCGACTGCTGCTGCTGTGCGTTGACTAGACATCTTGTGGATTCTGGCCACTCTTTTAACTTTGACAAAGTAAATGTATGTAAATCTGAGCCTCATTCTTATAAACATAATCTCCTTGAGATGCTTTATATTGCACGTGAGGACAACGCCGTCAATTTTCGCTCAGACGTCAACGGGTTGAGCTCGGTCTACAGAGCACTCATCTCGAAATCTCGCGCGCCAACCTCTCGTTACTAGACACAGTCGCCACCGCCGTCAATCACAGCGTACACCACCACTGACAGCGACAATCGTCATCATGAGAATGTGCCACTACATAACATAACCACACCTGTCACTTTGTTGTTGTTAGTGATCAATGTAGTCATACGATCTTTCGGGGGATTTGAGTCCTTGTTGACTCGGGTTTAGTAACCCTCAAAAGTGTTTTTGACATATTTATTGTGTTATTCGGCGCTCAAATAACTTCTATTACTATTTTTTCGAATTTACAATAGTTTTTGAGAATCATCTTTTTGACTCTAAATGACACCCACGATGGTACTACACACTCTGACATTGGTGTGAAATGTACAGACATTTTTCTATTTGACTGCTTTTGGTAGGTTCACATTTATGTTTTGGACTTTTCATGTCTTATTGATAGTTTTTATTTTTCATTTCGTTTTTAATCTCGCACATTTGATTTTATATTTTTGTTTTCATTTGTGCTCGGCCGGTTATCAAATAAATAAGCCCTGAAGAGGAGCGGCAGAATGGGTCGAAACGTTGGCTTATTTATGGTCAAAAACGTCTAGTTTTTCTCCCATCTCCTGTGATCGCAAGGCCGATTAATTTTTACTTAATTATTATTCAACGGTCGACAACAATCACTTATTAATTATGAATCGTGGCCAGAAACTCGGGGCCTCTCAACATTTCTTCGTCGGCATTGATAATGAATTTGGTAAGAATGCTGCCAAACTTCTGAGGGAACATAAACATCTACATCTATGTGACCTACAAATGTCACAGCAAAGAATCTTCTTCTCGAGATACCGGGATGAAAAAGTGACGCCTTCACATCTGAATCTTTTCCATTGCTCTTTCCAGAGCATTAACCTGAAGAATCTCAAATGCAAGGAAAAATTTTCAAGAATGACAACGATTTTTCAACACAAACTTCTAAACATTGCCATAGATGACATCAATGTCTCCATGAAACTCTCACACCGTAAGATAGAAAACTTGGAGCGACGAATTTTAAAACTCATCCCTCAGCAGATTTTTGATGAATTCCTGTCCAGGGAAGTCAATAAGGTAAATCATACCCTATTAGAACTTAGGGATAAATATGTCAAGAAATTAGATGATCTCAAACGCAAGAACTCTAATAGAAAATCAGTTTGGGGAGGATCCTTTGGCTGGCACATCTTCAGCCCTGCTCCAATCAATAAACCTGCCAATCCACGCTGGCTCAAGAACCTCTCATCAATTGTCTTACCTTCAGAGATAGAGTCTATTTTGGCCCTTGGGCCGAATTTTGGGCTCAGAATGAATAACTCAATGTTCCCCATCGACTCATTCATCACCGAAATCGAATCGAAAATTAGTGCTATTGATAAAGACAAACAGGATGAAATGAGGGGCAAAATGGTCAATATTATCCAAAACTATGAATCGAAACTATCTAATATAAAACCTGATGGTAAATTGAAAAATCTGAAGATCTTCCTAAAACAAAACGACAATGTTCTGGTCACTCGAGCGGATAAAGGTGGCACCACTGTTCTTCTTGAAAAAGATAAATATATCAACTCAGTGAATGAACTGCTGAACGACTCTAACACGTAGGCAAAAACCCGCAGTGATCGCACTGTAGAGATACAGAACGGTAATAACATCATAGTGGAGAGATGGAAGATCAACAACTACATCTCGAAGGAGACAGCGAAATGGTTGAAATCTGAAATGGCGATCGAGCCAAGACTTTACGCGTTGCCAAAAATCCATAAGCCAAACACCCCGTTCCGTTCGATTGTATCCTCGATCAGCGGCCCTACATACAAGCTGTCCAGTTTTCTTCAGAAAATGATCTCCGGTGCTTCTAATGACCATCCGTCATTTGTGAAAGATAGTTTCCAGTTCAAGGTTTTTATCTCAAAGGTCCACATTCCACCTGACTACATTCTGATCTCGTTAGACGTGAGTTCTCTATACACGAACGTCCCACTCATACTGGTTGAGAAAGCTCTCCAAAAAAGAGAACAAAAACTCCTGGGAAACGAAAACCTGTCGAAGAACTCAAAAAAGCAGTAAGCTTTATCATGCACTCCACCTGCTTCTCATTTAATGGGCAGCACTATAAACAAAATTTCGGTCTACCAATGGGATCTCCTCTGGCCCCTCCGGCAGCTGAAATAGTAATGCAAGGTCTTGAGAGTGACTGTTTGAAGTTCTTGGACGATGCAGGCATCCACATTCCTTTTTATAAGAGATATGTGGAAGACATAATCACTGCGGTCCCCTGGGGTGAAGTCGAGCTAGTTCTCGAGGTCTTTAACAGCTATGAGGGAAGGCTCCAGTTCACACATGAAGTGGAAGAAGACAACAAAATCGCCTTCCTGGACCTTCTCCTGATACATGACAACGACCATGTGGTTACCAATTGGTACCACAAACCGATCTGGTCTGGGATATTTTTGAATTTCGATGCACACCATCCCATCTCCCAGAAGAAAGGAATCATTTCGATGCTAGTAGACAGATGTGTGATACTTTTACATCTAAAGTTCCATGAGGACAATCTCCAGCTCATCAGGAGTACTCTGTTGGACAACAGCTACCCCTTAGAGTTCATCAACACCTGTATCAAGGAAAGGCTTCACCATCTGAACGTGTGTGCTAGCGAGAATACGGCCGCTGCGACTGCTGAGACTGATTTTAAACACGCACTGGTGCTACCATTTGTGAATGGTCTAACTCAGAATCTCAAGCGAGTTTCCAGAAGGTATGGACTGAATGTGATCTCTAATACCAGCCACAAACTACAGAGCTACCTGAAAACTACTAAGGATCCAGTGAAGTGGGAGAACAGGTCCAACGTGGTCTACTCAATCCCTTGTGACTTCTGCAATGGCGTATATGTGGGACAGACCAAACGATATCTCAAGGTCAGGGTGGGCGAACATGAGAAAGGCGTGAAGAACTGTAGAAACACAGATCCGGCGAAATACACGGCGTTGACTAGACATCATGTGGATTCTGGCCACTCTTTTAATTTTGACAAAGTAAAAGTGTGTAAGTCTGAGCTTCATCCTTATAAACGTAATCTCCTTGAGATGCTTTATATTGTACGTGAGGACAACGCCGTCAATTTTCGCTCACACGTCAACGGGTTGAGCTCGGTCTACACAGGACTCATCTCGAAATCTCGCGCGCCAACCTCTCGTTACTAGACACCATCACCACCGCCGTCGATCACAGCGCACACCACCACTGACTACGATAATCGTCATCATGAGAATGTGCCACTACATAACATAACCACACCTGTCACTTTGTTGTTGTTAGTCATCAATGTAGTCATACGATCTTTCGGGGGACTTGAGTCCTTGTTGACTCGGGTTTAGTAACCCTCACAAGAGTTCTTGACATATTTATTGTGTTATTCGTCGCTCAAATAACTTCTATTACTATTTTTTCGACAATAGTTTTTGAGAATCATCTTTTTGACTCTAAATGATACCCACGATGGTGCTACACACTCTGACATTGGTGTGAAATGTACAGACATTTTTCTATTTGACTGATTTTGGTAGGTTCACATCTATGTTTTGGACTTTTCATGTCTTATTGATAATTTTTATTTTTTATTTCGTTTTTAATCTCGCACATTTGATTTTATATTTTTGTTTTGGTTTGTGCTCGGCAGGTTATCAAATAAACGACCCCTGAAGAGGACCCGGAGAATGGGTCGAAACGTTGGCTTATTTATGGTCAAAAACCTCTAGTTTTTCTCCCATCTCCTGTGACCGCAAGGCCGATTAATTTTTACTTAATTATTATTCGACGGTCGACAACAATCACTTATTAATTTTATTGAATTCCTATTGAAATTCTATGAGAATCCTCTTGAAGTTGGAGTGAAATTTTATTAGAAAATTCTATTAGTTTTTAGCGCCAATTTAATAGAAGATCATGTTACTTTACCGTGTCATCTTGTCAAGAGATATTTGATAGGAAAAAGTCGGTAGATTTTTGTTTTTAGATAGAAATCCGTTGGCGTAAAATTCGAAATTTTTTCTTGTGTACTTTTATTCCTTTCTTATCAAATCCTTATCAAAATCCAGGAAAAACAAAATGGGAAATTCATATCCAAGCATTTTCATAGAAACTATCCCAAGAGAATAAGATATATAGAGAACTAACACATAGGATTTTTTTTATGAACAAATATCGATTGAAAAACGCAGGAGGATTTGCCATAATTTTTGATAAAATCGGCGCGAAAAACAGATAGAATTTTTCCATGGAATTATAATAGAACTTCAACAGGAATTTTTCAGAGTTCCATTGGAAATTTAATACAAGTCATTTCAAGGAGCGCTAGGTTTTGCTCTTCATTTTTTTACGTGACTTCTTTCACAATAGATAATTGAATTACAGAAAGTGGCATTCAGTGGGACCCAGCCCATGATGCCTTCAACGCCACCACCATCACCAGCACCTTTTCCAATTATGGCACCCTATGTCCAGATGCAATCATCTCCGATGTATGCACCGCAGATGGTGTCCACGTGGCAATAACCTCTTCAACAGCCTTCGATGTTGGCACCAATATTTCCTAACCCAATAAATTGGGGCAAGTCACAACATGGACAGCAATTTTTCAACGCCCAACACCCATCACAACAGTACCCACCACAGCCATACCCATCACAGCAATACCCACCGCAGCCATACCCTCCGTAGCAATACTCAACGCTGTAATACCCCCCACAACAGTATCCAGCACTGCAACAATATCCATATTATCCGCGTAATCCATACGGGGATCAGGTTTGTTTTCGTGGTATTTCCCTGCTACGTCATGTTCAAAATCATCTGCTCAGATATTCCAAATCCTTGAAGATCGCGTCCAAACAAATTTCCTAGAAAAACCTCGTGAATTCGCTAGAAAATTCGAACTGATTTCCATTAAAATTAGTATTAGTTTTTCTTCGATTCTGCAGACAAATTCCGCAGCTTATTCGGGCGTTTGTTCTCCATAGATATTCTCAATGAAAAATATTCAATAGAAAAAAATGTACGAATTTGATTTTTCTTGACGACTCATTCTATTGAGATATATTCTGTAGTAATTTTTCGACTTGAATTACCGCCCTTTCGTGGTTGGTTTTTTCAATGAAGAGAAACTAAAAAAATTGCAAAATTCATATCTCAGAATTCCTATAAAAAATGTCTCAATAGAAAAAATTGGAACGAAAGATGAAACTCGAACCATTTTTTCTATAAAAGATTTTTTTCTTTGAGTCTACCGCATGCTTCAATAGAATTGAAACAAAATGGAAATCTCAATAATAGTTCAATATAAATCCAATGCAATTTTCCGTTGAATTCGTTCGTCTTTTCTATGATATTTTTTCGTGCTACAAATCCTTTCAATATTTGTTGGACGCCAAGCTGTCAGAAGTGTATTCTAATCCCTCGACTATTGAAGTTCCATATCGCTATAATATGATAAGGATTTTCTGGTTGCGTTCCATTTTTATAGTTAAGTTTGTTTTATGAGACATATTGATTATTATATTTGTCTTGCTCATTAAGTCCAAGAACTTCTATTTTCAAATTGGAAAATTATGTCCTGACATTGCCATATGGTTGTTCAAGAGTAAAGTTGGCTGTTTGCTATACGTAACTATTTTCCACATCTGATTCTATACACAAATGTGTGAAATAGCAGTGTGTACATCTGAAAAAGGGTAGATAAGCCAAATTGCTGGAAAGTCGATTCTTATTTTTATATAGATGAATCTGTAGAGATTTTGTTGAATGCAAATTCCTAGGCATCGGATTATGACATTCAAGGGGGAAATTTATGCTTAAGCATTGTTATAAAAAAAATCCCAACGAAATAACTAGGAGAAGGAAGTCGTCATCTGTTGACATTTCTACTGAAGTAAATAGGTGAATGACAATTTGTGACCTTTTATGTTTCCATTTTTATAGAGATGAGAATTGAGATAGAGACAAGATATTTAATGAGAGGGAGGAATTCGATTTCACAAACCTTTCATTTTCTCTCTCATTTTTCATGAATTCTTTTTTTTAGTATTATGTTTGATAATGCTGTTTTCAAACACTTCGTGCACACGTCGCATATATGTACGTTGTCAAATGAAGATTATGCAGAGTAAAATTTATATACGTGCTCTGGTGCCAAATAAGGTGAACAAAATTCTCTGCAACCGGAAATTCAAAGATTTTACATAATGCATTACATTTTGAATTCCGTCAATTTTGTTTATCTTTTCTCGTTTTATTTATAAGTCTCTTTATCCTCCCACTCTTGTAGAGACAATTGATAATTTTTCCCTTCAACTCCACGTTTCCATGCAAGTGACGTCAGTAGTAAGAGGGCATTATTGGCGAATTTCCCACGCTCCCTCCCCTCTTTTTCCAGGAAGTGCACGTACACGTTCCCCCCTCCCCTCTCGGCGGCATGCCTTTGAAGAGGTCGTCGGCGCGCTGGGGGGCCCCCTGGGGTGCAGGGCCTCAAAGTTGCGGTCCGAGGGTCACATGAAGTGGGTGGTGGGTGGAAAATGGCCGCCAGATAGAAAATGAGTGGCGGGTGGAAAGTGGGTGGTAAGTGGGTGGTGGGTGGAAAAGGGGTGGCGGGTGGAAAGTGGGTGGAAAAGGGCTGGCGGGTAAATAGAAAAACTGTCGGACAGTATATATCGGACGGGTGTCGGGAGTCGGGCCCCTCTGCTGGTGGTCCAACCGTGGAGGACGGCGTCGGCAAGGGTCCGGATGTCGCTCTCCAGGATATTGGAGCCACTGTCCTTGAGACTCCGGAGAGACATTACGCTTTTGAATTTTTTTTT